AAATTCGTTGCGCCGCCCTTGGGGGCAAAAAACGGTGAAAGCTAACGTACGAAATCAGAGGGCAGTACACGGTGCGATCGCGCGACCCTGCCCGTGAGGAATCTCCCAACTCATCTCTGCCACATATCGTCCGTCCGTGGCATTCTTCATATTGGAAGCATAATTTACTGATTTTCTACGATTTTCTCCGGTAAACTACTTTGTTACGTAATATACGTCAAAAACCTCGAAAAGTGGGGAATTACCTAACCCTGATTTCTATTACCCTCTGAGTCGCGACGGTGGCGACACTGACTGACACTGACAGTGCACTTCAAAGAAATACTGTTTGGGATCGATATCCTATCTTATCTACTCTGGAGCCATAAGCAATAACCAACCAACCGATCATCCTATTTTATCTTTGGATATACGTGGCACTGTCATATTTTGTGGCACTATTTAGATACGTAATGTTAACTTTCTATGCCTATTTCTTTTAGACGAGTGTACTTTGTCTTTGTCGTTTTCGTTAATTAATGTTGGTTTTCTTCACAGGTTATGTTTTTTACAATTACCAAAATGTATTTGAAAAGCGTGTAGACAATAATTTCAATCTCCTAAAATCTTGCTGATACTTATGGTGAATTGTTATGTCAAGTGGTTTATCTGTTCCATAAATATCGCTAGACCATGTCCGTTGTTGAAAAAGTAATTTTGGTCACTGGAGGATCAGGGTTAGTTGGCAAAGCAATTGCTGCCGAAGTGGCTGAAAAGTCATTACCAGATGAGAAGTGGATATTCGTTGGATCAAAGGATGGAGATCTCTGGTAAATACATTGATGTTACTTTCACTCTTATATACGATGCAAAAGAGTACACATCAATAGTGAAATATGGACACTCGTAATGAAAAAAAGTATAATTACCACCATTTTGTAGCAATAAACAGAGTACCGAACTTTTGTTTGAAAAATACAAGCCCACTCATGTGATCCATTTAGCTGCAATGGTTGGGGGTCTCTTTCATAATATGGCTCATAACTTGGATTTTTTGGTAAACTTATATCCTATCGAAGCAAATTGAAATAATAAGTGCACATTAAACCGTGCTTTATCTATAATTGTCCATAGCGCAAGAATCTTCATATGAATGATAATGTGCTTCAGACAGCACATGAGAAAAATGTAATTAAAGTTGTATCCTGTCTTTCAACTTGTATATTTCCGGACAAAACGACATATCCTATTGACGAAACTATGGTAATTGTTAGATTAGCAAAAGAATAGAATTTAAATAGCCAGAACAGTCTCTATTGCTTATATCCAATGTGTAGATTCATAACGGTCCACCGCATCCTTCAAATTATGGATACAGTTATGGAAAGAGATTTATTGACATTGCAAACCGAGGGTATAATGAACAATATGGAAGACTTTACACAAGCGTCGTTCCATGTAACATATTTGGGCCACATGATAATTTTCATCCAAGTGCAAGTCACGTAATACCTGGACTTATGAGAAAACTTTATGATTTATCGAAAGATGGTTTGTTACTATAATATGTATAATACAAACTCATGAATATAATATTTAAAATACTTTTTTAATTGCATAGGAAGAACAGAAGATAAGGAATTCATTGTATTGGGATCAGGCAAACCTTTACGACAGTTTATTTTCAGTAGGGATTTGGCTAAACTTATGATTTGGGTACTTCGGCATTACGAATCCGCAGAACCAATTATTTTGTCAGGTAATATTATGTGATATGTCACATATTATCAGAACCAAGTGATGAAATGTATCTTGAATTTTCAGTGGATGAGTCTCAAGAAGTAACGATATCCGAAGTAGCTGTATGTTTAGCGAAGGCATTTGATTTTAAAGGAAAGATTGTGTACGACTCGTCAGCAGCTGATGGTCAGTACAAAAAAACAGCAAGTAATGCAAAGCTACGAAAATATTTACCTGACTTTGAATTTACACCATTCAATGAAGCTATCAAGACTACAGTTGATTGGTACTTGAAGAATTATGATAATGCAAGGAACTGATTTCAGTTTAAAGCTAAAGCAACCTTTTGGGAACAGAATAATGGTTAGCTTTAATGAATTCTTTATGTACATATTATATATTTTTTAAAATAAAATCATGCGCAAAATCCCGTGTATATAATACTGAAAATAAATTTCATATCAAATCATCTTTTTATGAATGACGGAAACTTGTGGTTTTATCGCAAAAAGCAATAATGAATGCTAACGGTAACTTTGATTAACTCTTTTTAGGGATATTAAATTAACGGAATACTGTTATAAATGTGCCATTAAATAATAACCACTCTGGTAGTAAGTTGGAAATTTTATTCAATAATTAGCTTTATTATGCCATTTAATAATTGAATTATTTTATTTTTTTTTATTCCTGCATTTTCTATGTACCACTTTGTTATCAGTTGATCGCGTGTAGTCAATGAATTTCTAATAGACGGACAAATTAATGTGATTGTAAAAATATAGCAACTATCACGAGTTTCATGCTGATGATTTTTGTAATATACAAAGTATGCAGAAATGTGTGACTCAAAAATGAGATTGCAAAATTGATTTGACAAGGGCTATTACAGGGTGAGAATTTCTGATGCTCGTGATTCAAGAAGATGCTCCATGGAGTTAACGTCATTGCACCATCCATCCAATCGTTGGACCATTCCTGCAATTTGGCTATGGTTTAGCACTCTGGGCTGAACCCATGTCATGTTAACTGTTCTTGCCACTTGATCAATAGCGCCACGAACTAAACCTTGCGCTAATGCTTTCATTACTAAAAGTTCAACTTCGCCAATGGGAAGATGTGTCTCCTGAGATATCTCAGCGAATGTTAATTGTCTGAATAGAACAAAAGGAACAAATTAGCATGATTTAGATTTCGAGTTCTAAAACAGTGCAAATAATAGTGGACATAACAAACCTATTGTTTGCCTGACGTTTGAAAGTCATCTCCATAAGACACAACAGTGAGATTTTTTGCCGCAATTTCAATTCTTGAGCTGCTAGGTCGGCTACTTTGTTCCATTGCGGTTTTAGTCTTTCTAATGCAGCAATGTCACCAGCATTGAATGCTTGCAGTAAATCGACCAACCAGGCATTGGGAGTGCCTTTTAACGATTCTAAAACAGGATGAGCTAAAAGCTCACCAAGATTATAAACCCCTTCACCCAGGAGAGCCGCGAGACCAAGAAAGAAAGCATGTTGTTCTTGTTCTTGTTTACTTAGGGTGCTTAGTTCGATGCATCCCAAATACCTGTATCAATTAACAAAGACTATATGTAATAAGTAATATGAAACGTAAATTTGATAAATGCTTGCCTTAGAGATTGATATAATTTTAAGATCATAATTTTTAATTCGTACCTCAATGCAGTGCGGTAGTATTCAGCATGTTTGCCTTGCAACCGATATAATCTACTGGCTAGGAGGTAAAATCTGCCATGAACAGTAGTAACACCGTCGGCATTATCAAGCATTGTTTCGACATCTTCGATGATCTTTTTTGTCTTTTCTTGATCATTTAATTTATCTAATAATATCTGGCCTGCAAGAACTTTACATAATGCAAGTGCCTCATTGTTACTTTCGACTTTAGATTCAGTTTTTTCTAAGAAGTCGATGGCTTCCTGTTTATCTTGAAACTGTTGAATTACATGTGCTAAGATCTCGACTAACGACAATGGATTTATTCTGAAAAGAAAAGTCAAGGTTTAGATATTATGCGAAGCCATTGAAATGGATTATTCTATTTATTTCAAACAGTTCGATCTTAGTATTAATTTGAATCTGTTATGTACGTCCCTAAATGGGAATATTAGGTTAGGTAACACTAATTCTCAAAAATTGGAAAAGTTTTAATTCTTACTTGCTCTCAAACGTCGATAGAAAGTTGTTATACAACTGTACCAGATTATCACCCTTCTGTAAGGACGGATTGTTAACAAAAACCTCCAGTTTCAATGTTAACTGATGCCAAAGCCTGCAAGTCACCGGGTCGGTTTACATAGTTAAATCTTCTTAAAGCAATTCGAGTATTCGGTTTGCGTTCTATTCGATACACTTACTTTTTGTTATACAATTCTTCCAGCTGGGCCCATTCTGCGGCCAGTTCCTTATCCGACACATTTTGTTTTTGATTTAAGTATGTACTAACGTCCTTCGGCGCAATGGAGACCGCCATGTTAGCCACAATGACATGAAGCACACGAAACTCAAAGCACGATCAGCAGAGATGAGTTGGGAGATTGCTCACGGGATGGGTCGCGTGAGCGAATTCTGTGCTGCCCTCGGTGCAGAATGCGGACGGCTCGCGCATTTACCACCTGATACCCCTAGTGGTGGCCTAACTCAGGGATCCTCTTCATTTTTTCTCTCAACTCATTTCTGTGATAACAAACATCCCTTAACATCTTTTAACATCTTTTACCAACAAGTTCAGTAAGATCTGCGGTGATGCCATACCCATGATAAGTTGAAAAAAAAATGGACCCTGTTAAGGTGAAGTGAAACCCTCTTCAAATCAGTCGATTTGAATACAATACTTTTTGTTAAGGGTATTAGACCAAATTGTCCGAAACTTTGACACATCACTCCTGATCATCTAAGAATTGTCCTGACACATTCCAAATTTGGATTTTTAAACAAAATTTTTTAACTCAGCCCAGACCAGAACCAAAATGGCGTCGAGCTCTCATATTTCGATCAATTATCGAAGACTCTGATATGGGAATCGAATGGGTCAGGACAATTTTACGACAATTTAGAACACTCTAGTAGTCGATAAACTCGCATTTGAACGGGATAAAGGCAAAAAAAGTGTTGTATGCGCTTCTATGCTGTCCGTTCGAAAGAACGGAAGGCCATCGTAGTTGCCTTACATATATCTTTTTTTTTATTGAAATTTAACGAGGACACGTTCCTCCTTCGGGCCTTCATAATCACGTGCTGAAGATTCAAATGATTCAATTGATTGATAATGATTCGGTGCACCCAGTTTAGAGAGAAGTTTAATAAATATTTGGACGTTTTATATGTATATATATATATATATATACATACAGAATGACCCTTTCATATCACCTTAACACACCATACCGACAATTTATACTCCCATTACCAATACCATCGAAAAATGGCCATTTGATCGGTCGGTGGTAGGTTCAATGTTAATTACATGGCCTCGAATCTTATCAATAAAATTGCTTACAATATATTTACTTTTCCTTTTATTTTTTAGCCTGCTTTTCTCGTCGAGTGAAATTATCTCCCGGAAGATAAAAGAAAATAAAAAAGTAACGTTTACTTTTCATTACGCCGTTAGTTTGTAAAAACATCGGTATCAACGACACTCATTGCGTCAGCTTTTACGATGTCGCGGAAAACTTGTGAGGCGCGTGTCACTCGTGCTTGGGCATCTCTCCAAAGTATCTTCGGTATATCTACTCCGCGATGATATCTGTGGTAATCATTCCGAGGAGTTGTTCACTGCTGTCGCGAGATGGCGGCACAGTCGCGATGCGTCATCGCACTAAATTTGTAGCGCACTGTACAGTCCCCTAATGTCGTAAAGAAATTCCCTCCGAAATGCACATTAACGCGACTTACATCATTTCTTAACACATTGCCAACTGTTGCGAGGCTTGTCAAGCTTCCGAATTAACGTGGACGGTACATGAAATTTAACACAGTGATGCACGTCAACATCACCTCCAACTTTTGGGGATGCTCATCTTCCTTGTATCTTACGTGGACGAAGATTATACATTTGACGCGCTTAACGCGTTATCAATGCAAATTACGTTATTGTTTATACAGGCCTACTGCGCGTTACGATGATATTCAAAAATGCCTTATTCTTGTTATTTTAATATATCGAATAATTTCCAAATCGCGCCGCATTTACTAACTGAAATACAATAGCTGGTTTTCTCGGCGTATAATTCCTAAAATGCGGACAAGAGTTCTTATTGATCTGAACGTATATGTTTTAAAATATTTTCTAAACTGCGTGTTGTTTAAAATTGCTATTAATTTACCTATTGTAAACGTATATATTCGGTTACACGGCGAGTGAGAAAATCCATGGCTTATTATCATCATCATCATCATCATCATCACCACCATCACCATCGCTATTATCATCGTCACCATCATCATCACCACCACCACCACCACCACGACCATCGCCACCACCACTATCATCATCATCATCATCATCATTATTATTAATGGCAACATGGTACCAGAAACTTCTGGATGGACCTCATGAAATGTTCTGTAACATGATTAAAACAATATTTTCACAATTATTGCCAGTTTTGCAGTACAAAGATGGCTATTCACGTTACGATACGTTTGAGCAAACCAGTCTATATAGATTTAACTGACATAAGGAGATTAAAGAAGAACTCAATTTAACATATAGATTACAAATCGTTACGTGTGTATCCATTAACGTTACAAATTTAAACATTACCTGTTTCACGTAGCACTTTCGCTGGAATTTTGTATTTTCTAATTTTATTTGGAATATAAACTTAAGGCGATGCGAAAGTGGCGTCGAAGGGGTATCGTTTATGAAATTTTTCTCCTTTATAGCTACGTTCAAGAATTTTAATAACAAAATTTCACGAGCTTCGGGACTTACCTTAACACGTTTAATGCCACGCCAGTTTGACAGGGCTTGTCCGTCGCACCACGATGAATTTTCTATTATACGATACGTATAATATTGAAGTATCATCTGCAACGGGTAAGTTACAGTCGATAACGATGTTTGACGTAGTAATTCCGCCGGGGGTCACCGGTGACCCCCGTGGCGCTGTAGTGCGATTTCGCGTTACTTTCTTTCGTAATAAGCGCGGATAATAAATGTATATTTCAAGTGTGAATAGAACTTTTTTTTAGATGTTTTATACTCCATTTATTTCTTCACACTATTGCATTAACGATGGTAATAATAAAAATTTATAAGTATTGACGTTTGCTTAGATTATATATATTTCTATGAATCTGGGTGCGCCGGTCACTGGTGACCCCCGTGGCATTCAACGTGTTAAAGAACTCGATTTAACATATAGATTACAAATCGTCACGTGTGTATCCGTTAACGTTACAAATTTAAACATTACCTGTTTCATGCAGCACTTTCGCTGGAATTTTGTATTTTCTAATTTCATTTGGAATATAAACTTAAAGTGATGCAAATGTGGCGTCGAAGGGGTATCGTTTATGAAATTTTTCTCCGAACTGGGTGTACCGAATCTTCTGAAACTTGACAATGTGAATATGGAGGCTATAAGGAAGGCTCTGAACGTCATGAAATTGAAATTTTAAGATATTTTGTTTATAGCTATTTTCAACAATTTAAATAACAAAATTTCACGGCCTCGGGACTTACCTTAAGGTCTCCTTATACATGTGGTAAAATTTGAAACAAATAGGTACATCCAATTCGGAGAAAAGTTTCATGAACGATTGACTCATACGATGCCACTTTCACATCCCCTTAAAAAGAAAGTCATTTTGTGGTTTCGAATGGCACATTATAGGGCAAAATTTTTATTCTGGCTTACATTCTACATTGAACTTCTGTCAATAAAATTTTATCACCGGGTCAACGTGAAAGAGCCTATCTGTAATTTTAGGAACAATGAAAAATCGCAGAATTAGATGGAACTTATCTGCACTATTACTCCAAGCGAGTAGAATAGCAACTATTGGACAGGATGTTTAACATTCCAGTCAGTATTTACGACTTTATTACATTAAACTATTTAGCGCCCAACATTTGTTCATTACTGATATTCTAGTCAGTCCACGCATCCGGGTTTTTTTGTTTCCACTGGATTTTTATATTTATATTGTATCTTAGTATGTGATTACATTGATTTTGTTGTACACATTTTTGTTGAATCATTGTAATCGAATGTTAAGGACTAGTTAAGTAATATTGCGTGTAGTTTGTAAAGTATTTAAAAACTACTTTATATACTTGAATCAACTGGAAACGACTCTTTTATTAATTTTGAATCCGGGCAATATTATGATTATTTCTTTGTTGAAGCAATGTCGCCAGCATCTGCTATATTTTCTTTGGACTTAGACGATTCTGCCTTGTTGCTTACTTCACTTGTATTTCTTAACATGAATTGCACCACAGAAATTGTCACTATTTGTCCGGCAATTGTTATCATTGTCTGCTTCACACGATTCATCTTCGTGGTCAGAATACTTATCATCGCATGTTTCGCTCATACCACCGTCACCTTTTACTTCCATTTAACGATATGATAACGGATTTTATTCGTCTCGTTATCTCCGAAATATATTAAATATCCAATATTAACCGAGTATGCCAAGATATACATTAATCAGTGCGAACTAATAATTAAGAAGTCTCTTATTAAAACGTACGGCTTTAGGGAAATTTTCCTCGAAACAATGAAAATATTTGATAACCAAAAGAGTTCGTGCGGTTTCTTCGCTGTAGCGAACAATACCGAAAACTCCGTAAATATATTTCATTACCTAATAATTCAATGCGACATTTACAGAAATGCGAAATACTGTACATTTAGAATACATCTTGATTTCGGATATTATTTAGTAATATGTCGTCGACGTTACAGGTTTTCCACTATACCAAAATCGAACTCGGAGATATAATGACTCCAGTTATATTTCTGAGATTTTTTTTACTATAACTCCTGTTTTGAGAATCGTACCTCAAGTTGTAAATAAGAAATGGAAAGTTGCATACATACGTACGACTTAAGGAATCCATGTATTAGTATGTACACGAGAAAATAAGTAATTAATGGCTAGTAATACTTATTTCCATTTTTGAAATTCATATCTAGCTTATTAATTCACTTTCTAGGATACATCGTAGTACGTTCACTGTGACGTAATTCTGGCATTACAACAACGCTGTTAATACTTAAATGTTAAAAAATGTACCTGGAGAAAATACCGATCACACCTAAAATCAAACAATTAGCCCTAGTATGGTGGAAGGTAGAACATGGGAAAATAAAATAATAAAAAAAGGTCTAAAGCTAATTCTTGTTCGCATTATGCGCAGCTCGGACAAGGTGAACTGAACCATTAGAATGTATGTTACAATCCCAGATAGAAATTCATGATCATCGTACGATGAGAAAAATCGACTTACAAAGAATATGCAGTACATTTGCTGTATGAAATATTTACAACATACGTGTACATATTATACAATAAATTTGAAGATAAATTTGAACCAATGTATGTTACAATCCCAGATAGAAATCATGATCACCGTATGATGAGAAAATTCGATTTACAAACAATTTGCAGTACATTTGCTGCATGAAATATTTGCAACATACATGTACATATTACACAATAAATTTGAAGATAAATTTGAACCAATGCATGTTAGAATCCCAGATAGAAATTCATGATCATTGTACGATGAGAAAAATCGACTTACAAAGAATATGCAGTACATTTGCTGCATGAAATATTTGCAACATACATGTACATATTACACAATAAATTTGAAGAAAAATTTGAACCAATGTATGTTACAATCCCAGATAGAAATTCATGATCATCGTACGATGAGAAAAATCGACTTACAAAGAATGCAGTACATACGCAGGGGGTCCCTCTGCAGTCAATTAGGGCCCCAGAAAGCATGAATCCAGAGTATTTCTGGAGTTTTTCTTCGATTTCTTTATAATTATTGTACGAAAACGACAGGTGCAGTATGCCATTTGGTACAATACCCAATATAATTCGACCCAGCTGTCAATAGAAAAACGAACGTCGGCAACGTAAGCATTTAGAAAAATCTTCTTTATCGACGTCGATCAAGTTCCTCGACGTGTTTCACTTCACCTTAATAGGTCTCTCTTGAAAATTGTACATATATAGTAGTCAAGTCTATCGACATGCAGTTGACAGAAGCAGTCGCAATTTATAAATTTACTTTCAGACTGAAGTTTTCTAGAATTCGGTATCGGCATCATTAAGTACTTGGACCGATATGTGTTGGATGATCCGAATCGATTTTTATTTTTATTTTTATTTTTATACTTTACACGAGCTATCGAGCTAAAGCTGTATTCACATTTTCCAACACGTACCGATACCGATCCGACAAAATAACGTAACATGCCTTTTAATGGCACTGTTCACATTATTCGACCCTCGGACGTTGGAACCGATCCGCGTCGGATAGTCTGAACCGACCTTAATAGGTCTTTCTTGAAAAATGTTATGTATAGGAGCCAAGTCTCATCAATAGACATACAGTTAATAGAAGCAGTCGCAATTGCCGAAGACATCAAATATTGATGTGTCGGATTGATTTGCTAATATGTTTAGACTTGCTCAGCAAGTTGCAGGCGGTAGAACAAGGAATCGTGACAACTAATGAAATGAGCAAGCCATCAAAGAGATAAGATATCAGCTAATGAGAGGGACATATATGTATAGTTAAAAATATTCACCTACAGACCTCGACGTGGGTCGGGATAAAAGAAAACCAGAAAACAGATAAACTGGGGAGGAGAGTGGCCCAGGAAGGAGGATATACGATCCATAACGTCACACTATGGCGTAATCAGGAATTTAAAAAAAGAATATCCGCAGGCAAGAAAGCAATTCGTGGACAGTCCGATTCCGAACAGAGGACGAATATTTTTTAAAAATCCACTGGTTGGATTTAAGGTGATGTGAAAGTGGCGTCAAGAGGTCTCGTTTATATAACTTTTCTCCGAACTGAGTGTACTGTATCGTTTCAAACTTGACAACGTGAATATGGAAGCTATAAAGAAGGTTCTGAAACTGAGGAAATTTCAATTTTTTTTAAATTTCTTTACAGGTATTTTTACAATTTGTTACGAAAAATGAAATTTCATGAGTGTCAGGACCTTACTTATAGCGGTCCATATTTACGTTGTAAAGTTTGAAACGATTTGATAGACCCAGTTCGAAGAAAAGTTTCATAAACGATCGGCCCCTTGGATGCCACTTTCACATCCCCTTAACCTCGGTTCCAGAAGTAGACTCGAATCGAAGGACAAAGGATAACGAAATCATGTTGAATCATAATGCTTAAGGTGAAGTGAAACACGTCGAGAAACTTGATTAACGTCGATAAAGAAGATTTTTTTAAATGTCTACGTTGTCGACGTTTGTTTTTCTATTGACAGCTGTGTCAAATTATATTGGGTATTGTATCAAATGGCATACGCCACCTGTCGTTTTCGTACAATAATTATAAAGAAATCGAAGAAAAACTCCAAAAATCCTCTGAATTCATGGTTTCAGAGGCTCTAACTGACTGCAGAGAGACCCCCTGCGCCATCTGTGATTTCCAGGTCAATTTAATTTTCACTCCGAGACCTCGTATTCCCATCGTTTTAGCATAGAAGCGTATACAACACCTTTTTTGTGTTTATCCCATTCAAATGAGAGTTTATCGACTACCAGAGTGTTCTAAATTGTCGTAAAATTGTCCTGATCCTTTCGATTCTTATATCAGAGCCCTCAATAATTGCATATTGATCGAAATATGAGAGTTCGACGCCATTTTGGTTCTGGTCTGGGCTGAGTTAAAAAATCCAAATTTTGAATGTGTCAGGACAATTCTTAGATGATCAGGAGTGATGTGTCAAAGTTTCGGACAATTTGGTCTAATACCCTTAACAAAAAGTATTGTATTCAAATCGACTGATTTGAAGGGGGTTTCACTTCACCTTAAATAGATGCGTATATACGTAGAATCTGCATAAAGAATAATTCCGTATCAGAATATGAAGTCATAAATTATTTTCTTTCTACATTACTTCCTATTTTCAGAGTAGCGGGAGAAATTAATCAAAAATTGTCTAGGGATAAATTTGATACCTCAGTTAAACAAATTGCGTTAAGGTAGAACGAACGCCAAGCATGTAAAAAGATTAAATCGGTTTTGCAGAAACATCGAATGGAATGATGTAAGGAGAAATTAATTAAAAATGTTCTAGGAATAAACTTGGTAATTTTAACAAATTGCATTAAGGTAGAGTGAACGCCAAGCATGTAAAAAGATTAAATCGGTTTTGCAGAAACATCGAATGGAATGATCTAAGGAGAAATTAATAAAAAATGTTCTAGGAATAAACTTGGTAATTTTAACAAATTGCATTAAGGTAGAGTGAACGCCAAGCATGTAAAAAGATTAAATGGGTTTTGCAGAAACGTCGAATGTAATGATGTAAGGAATGAACAGTAATAAGTATATAGGGGAAAAAAGCGGTAAGAACATAAATGCAGACGGAAAAAAAAAAGAAATAACAGCTCAGTGGAATATATTCCACGAAGCAACCTTGTGAGAGTGCCTTTCCAAATTCAATGGCCGAATGAGGACATGGAAAAAGTCGGTACTTCGGTACTGAATGATGAGTGATTAAAAAAAGAAGTAGGTGATTCGCATGAATCGTTTGCTAAAGAGCGGCGAAAATTTCTCGGAGCCGGTTCGAACCGTTGGATGGAAATTCATCCCACACGCAGATATATATTTCTACGGAATTCTTCTATTATGGTGATATAAGAGTCATTCTACATATGTAAAATGACATAATATATATCTTTTCTTCAACTGGATGCACCGAATCATTTGGAACTTTAGCACATCATAATGAAGGCCCTAAGGAAAAACGTGATGCTCATAAAATTGAATTTTTCAAACAAAAATATGTGTTCTTGGTTCTAGTCTGGGATGCATAACAAATTTTTGTTTGAAAAATGAAATTTCATGAGCGCCGCGTTCTTCCGTAAGGCTTCCGTAATCACGTGATAAAGTTTCAAATGATTCGGTGCACCTAGTTTGGAGAAAAGTTTTATAAACATTTCGTCGTATTGGTATATATATGACACTTTCATATCACCTTAAGGGGACGTGAAAGTGGCATCCGAAAGCTCAATCGTTCATAAAACTTTTCTACGAACTGGGTGTCTCAAATCGTTTCATACTTTAAAACGTGAATATGGAGACCCTAAGATAGGTCCTGAAACTCGTGAAATTTCATTTTTTATAAACTATTTTTAAAATACCTATAAACAAATTTGAAAAGAATTGAAATTTCATGAGTTTCAGGACCTTCCTTTTATAGTCTCCCTATTCACGTAGTAAAGTTTCAATCAATTCGATAAACCAAGTTGGGAGAAAAGTTTTATAAACGAAACCTCTTCGATGCCACTTTCACATCACCTTAATTGACGTAAATAACGCGAATATTTTTATAGCTCAACGTTCCCGTTTCCATGCAGGAACAAGCATAACCTCCAGAATTTAATGTGACAATTTGAAAATTTGTTACAAATGAAGTATAAATAGAGGCGGAAGACCAAGGCACAAACGCTACAGCGAATTGGGTTTCCATTTCAAAATAGACAGTGGAAAAAGTGTAGCACTTTGCCACGATCTTAAAAATTCAAGTTTTCCACAAAATGCATGGCTCCTGCATTGCATGATTTTTGATTATCCGTTTTAGTGGCACGCAGCGTGATCGCGCTTTTCGCGTACTGTGGTGAACTGTGTCGCGACGTTTGGTCCCGATCGTCAATTCGCAACACTATCGCGCTTCATGGCACAATCCGACACGGATTTTTAAAAACCCCTGGCACTAAAACGGTTATTCTTTTCTCTACAAAAATTGCTATTCACAAGTAATGCACTAATCCTGTGGAAGAGAAGTTACGATAGCGCTATCTTTGCTGGGTAATTAACTAGGAACTTTCCCCGTTTCCTAGGTAAAATGCTTCGTTAGGTATTTTGCGTAAAAAAGCCTCGAGGGAGACGTCACCGTGCATACGGAGTAGACCGAGTAGACGACCGGACATGCGCCGGGCCGCTCGTCCGCGAGTTCGGGGAGCAGTCCGTCGCAGCTCGTCGCAGCTGGCAACGCCGCGATGGAGGGGGCGCGCGGAGGGCGCATCAGCTGTTCGGTGACAGTTGGCCAGCGGTGGTCAGCGCAGCGAGTAGCGAGTGTTGGGTGAGTGCGCGCAGCAGCGGCGCAGTAGCCGCTCGCGACCGGAGGGCAGGTAGGGCCGCGCGGTCCGCGGGCTCGGCTCGGATTCGGTCGCAATCGCGTCGCGCCGGTGGTGGGAGTCGGTGGCCGCCTTCGCTAGTCTGGCACTTCGCGCTGCCAGCAGCAGTCGGCAGCGGACTTGGCGCAGCCGAGCGTAGCGCACGGGAAACCAAGATGGCCGCCTGTTGAGTGGGCTTGCTGCGTCGTGGACGGAATCAGACAAAGGAACGACGCAGTTGCGGCCCGCGACCCGGACCGCGCCGCGACGCCCGCCTCAGGACGCAGTCGACCTAACCTCCCGTCATCTGGAGCGCAGGACGGGCGCAGGAATGCTGGAGCTCGAGGTGGTGCCCGAGAGATCCCTCGGCTGCGAACAGTGGGAATTTATTTTAGGCAAGTGACGACACTCGCGGTCGCTCGTTCGCGGGTTCCCGATTCCTCCTCGAACGAGGGAGATCCGTCGCTCGGGTCTCCAGGAGGCGGTCGACGGACGGTCCCGGAACCCGCAACGCGGCCCGGGGGACGGGACGCGCGAAGGCCGCGCGGTTTTCGGCACCTCCGATAACCCGCGTTTTGACAGTCGCTTGTAAACACTCTCGGAGGAAGCGTCTACTGGCATTATGTAATTGTTGCGTTCTATTGCGACGCGCATAGTGCGTTGGAGAGGGCGATTGTTGACCGTTTTTCCAGGTAGGGGGAACATTCGGTGACGTTTCGGAGAAGGGACTCCGTGCCCGCGCTTGACGTTTGGTGCGTTACATGGCGCGTTGTCCTTTATTTTCTTTGTTCGATGAGACGGTGGGCTTTGCCCGTTAAATCACCGGGCTTTTACGTAGTACCGCGATTTTGTCATTCGTTTATTGAATATTCATAAATTTCCTGACCGATGAGTCATTTACCGTGAGGTGAGAATCGTAACGTGGAGTTTAGTATCTAGGAGTTCGTTAATCTTTTATGATTTTCGTTATACGGGGTGTTCTTTTTGTTTTATTCAAGAAAAAAATTAATATCGATGGATCTTGTTTTCATTTGCAGGAATGCATTTTTCTCAATCTGTAGCTATAATACAATCTCAAGTGGGCATTATACGTGGAGTACAAGTTCTGTACAGTGATATCGTAAGTAGAAGAAAAGAAAAAAAAATTAATTTGTTTCCTGGTGTAGGAGCAAAGCAAGTATTTATGAAAATAATGAATTTAATATGTTGCAGAATCCTTTAGAAGTAGACTTAGTAATAAATTTACCCCACGACGGTGTTCGGTTAATATTCGATCCTGTTGTGCAAAGGCTCAAGATAATTGAGATTTACAACATGAAACTGGTGAAACTGAAATATTGTGGTTTGCCGTTCAATTCTCCAGAGGTACTGCCATCTATCGAACAGATCGAGCATTCTTTCGGAGCGACTCATCCTGGAGTTTACGACAGTGAAAAACAGGTGCACCCAAAGAAAGATTTCTGATTAATTTTAGGAAATATTTAATGAGATCGCTAGTTGCCTAATTGCCTCGTTTTGCTCGTTGTAGGTCTTCGTATTGAATTTCCGGGGTTTGTCGTTTTATTTCCCAATCGATACCAAGTTTCAACCTGGCTACGCACATGGCTTAGGTTCCCTACAATTTCCAAATGGAACCTCTCCACTAGTGGCTAAAACGGCTATTTATGTTGGGAGCATGACGTCCGGTATCGGCGACGAGCACAGTCTCAAGGCACCTCCACCTCCTCTACCGCTTGTATGTAATTCTGCATTCTGCTTACGGTATTTAAAAAGGCCGGATGGAAGGAAGGAACTAAGATCGATGTGTTAACAGGCATGCTATCACAATAATTTATACCTGGAGAAGGCCGAAGTTGTAAGAGACAAAGTCCACACCCGTGGGCTAAAGTTACACCTCTTCACCGAAGGCAACTCCATAACGAGGGTCCTTCTTGAGCCAAAGAAACATTGCTTAACTAAAGAGGTTATTAGAAGACTTATTACCTAAACTTACCGGATTCGATCGATCGAGAAACCAAGAGTGAACGAGCGAGAGTCGTGCGTGCGTTGCGTGTGTGATCTTGCCCCCATGAAGAATGATTTACCAGCAACCGTGCAAGAGCGTGTGTGAAGTGAGTGTAAAGAAAATTTCATCCAAGCCGCCGAATCTACCGTAATCCTGTTAGATAGAAAAATGAGATTTGGACAGACGAGTGAATCGCTTAGGTAGTTATTTCCTAATTGACGACGATGTGAAAATACTATTTGACACGTTAATATGTATCACCTATAGCAATTTTCTATTTCACTTCCTAAGAGGACACGATTGTAACGAATTGCCTTGAAGTATCAATACTCAAGGTCGTGGGCGAAACAGTTTAGTTTGGCGATTACAAGTACAATTAGAAACTAAAATTTGTGAAGGTGAAACGGGGGAACGGTATTTTCGCATCGTCCTGAAATTGAATCGCTAGATATCGATTCGTAAACGGCCGTAATCACGGTACCAGTCTCCGGAGTACGTCCGCGGAATATAGGTCCACGAAATCGTGTTTTTCTGGCGCACCCCAGGTCAGTCGGTTCTGTGGCTTGTATTGAACTTTGTTCGCACGCACATTCACGCATGTATACGCATTTCAGGATGGCGAGTGTGTGCGGCACTGTCGTACTTTGTGACGGTTCTGTCTAAGCGCGTCTTGCCTGATTAGAGAATGAAGAAGTGAACCTTCGTTTAAAGGTCTGGTTCGGGGATACCTGCGAGGATGTCCTGAGCGCCCTCGGAGCGCCCTCTCGGGTCTTCTTTAAGGCCGAGGACAAGATGAGAATCCACAGTCCCCACGCGCACAAGCGAAACAAAACTAGGAGATCCGACTTCTTTTATAACTACTTCACTTTGGGATTGGTAAGTGAGAGGAGAAACGAGTAAAGAGATAATAAGTCAGAGGGAGTATCGCGAGCTCGTTGCGGCTTACTTTTGCGGATATGATAATTAAATCACGATTCCTTTCTTTTGCGCAGGACGTTTTGTTCGACGCGAAGACGCAGTGCGTCAAGAAGTTCGTGCTTCACACGAATTACCCAGGGCATTATAATTTCAACATGTACCATCGTTGTGAGTTCATTTTAACGCTACCTCCCGAGAGCAGTCCGACCACGGAGTCGGGAAAGCTCATCGACGTTTCTCCGTCACCTGTAACTGTAAGTCCCGATTTAATAACAAATACAGATCAACGCTCATTTCTAAACACATTCGCGTCCGCTGACGTGAATTCACGTCTTTTCAAGTTCTATTCCTGGTCGCCGCTGACGTGAATTCACGTCATTTTAGATTCTATTCCTGATTGCCGCTGACGTGAATCACGTCCATAACGATACACGATACAAGTTTGCGGCAACCAGTTTCAGAATTTCATTATTTTCCCCGGTACTCAGTATTTGAAACTGAAAACATTTGCCGGTCGCGAATGTGTTAAGATACCTGGGTTTGCGCATCAACGAGACACGGCGATTTTATATCGACACCCGCAATAGAGATATGTGCCCATAATTATGAAAGTGGTCTAAGTCATATATTTTCTGTTTCGAAATTACATTGAATTAATTTAGTTTAAAATAATGTGGCGTGAAATAACTGATAAACACATTTTTTTTTTCAATTTTGACTTAGACCATTTTCATAATTATGGGCACATATATTTTCGACTTGGTCTAACGAGGCGCTCTGTATTCCCCGGGAAATTCGGAGTCTGCGACGAATCTTTCCACGGTAAACCTTCGGTCGTTATTTGAAAGGGTCATTCTGTATATCAGAACGTCAAAATATATATAAAACTTTTCTACAAACTGGGTGCACCGAATCATTCGAAACTTCTGCACGTGATTACGACGGCCCTAAGGAAGGAGGTAATGCTTGTGAAATTTCATTTTCCAACAAAAATTTTGGTTATTTAGTCCAGACTAGAACCAAGATCACATTTTTGTGGGCAAAATGAAATTTCATCAGCATCGCGTTCTTCCTTAAGGCTTCCGTAATCACGTGATAAAGTTTCAAATGATTCGGTGCACCCAGTTTGGAGAAAAGTTGTAATAAATATTTTGTCATTATATACATCAAAACGTCGAAATGTTTATAAAGCTTTTCCCCATACAGGGTGTACCAAATTTGAAACTTTAGTATGTGATTATGGAGGCCCTAAGGAAGAACGCGGCGCTCATGAAATTTTATTTTTCAAAGAAAAATTTGTTATGCATCCCAGACTAGAACCAAGGACACATATTTTTGTTTAAAAAATGGAATTTCATGAGCATCACGTTTTTCCTTAGGGCCTTCATTATCATGTGCTAAAGTTCCAAATGATTCGGTGCATCGAGTTTGGATAAAAGTTGTATAAATATTTTGTCGTTATATATATCAAAACGTGAAAATATTTATAAAACTTTTCTTCAAACTGGGTCGACCGAACTATCTGAAACTTTAACACGTGATTATGAAAGCCCTAATGAAATTACACTAAAAAGAAAAAATGTCTTTTTGGTTCTTGTCCGAGATAAATGCAAACTTTTTTGTCGAAAAATGATATTTCACGAGCATTGCGTTCTTCCTTAGGGCCTCCATGATCTCGTGATGAAGTTTCAAATGATTCGGTGCACTCAGTTTTGAGAAAATATATATATTTTGTCGTTTTATATATATATTTTTTTTTCTATTCTATATATACATATTTCCCTTATGTATGACCCTTTCATATCACCTTAACTGCTTGTACGAGGACTTGTATTTTCATAAATAGGATTTCGCAGTCTCCTGTCTATTCTTTTCGAATGGTCTTATACGTCGCATCGCCGCAACGCCTCGTTACCGTAGAGTGTCGCAACTCGATTCTCGTTACACGCGCTGGAAACGAAAGTGAAGAGTAACGCTTTGAACGGATCCCCCCACCGCTGAGTATGTACACGAGCGTGCTTTTACTGTTTAAGATCACTGCCTATACAAAGTGGGACAAAGTGAGCGAGCAGTTAAAGGCGAGCGCCCGGCCAGTGGTGTTGAATCGCGCGTCCTCGACCAACACGACGAATCCGTTTGGTTGCACGTTCTGCTACGGAGTGCGCGACGCCATCGTCGAGGTGATGGCCAATCAACATATCGCCAGCGTGACCCTCTACGCGGCGGTGTGACCCCGCTAAACGGACGCGTCCGAGAAAGCGAAACGCCGTGTAGAGTGGGCCCTCGTGTCCCGAGGGGAGGGAAGAAAAATGAAGAAAAAGGAAAAAATCCGCGAACTCTAGGAGAGCCCCGTGGAGCCATCTCGTCGGAACGATCCGGCGCGGAAGCGACGGGCGCGGAGAGGCCTACGCCTTTGCGACGTGATCCTCGGTGTCTCTGTTCAATATGTTCTTAAGAGACGCGGGGGAAGGAGACGTGTCAAGGGTGGGACGCTCGACGGAAGTCGAAAGACAGCGAACCAAGTTCCATTGAAGGCGTGGGTGGACGCGCCGCAGGGAGTATGCACGACTGATCGAGGGTTAAATTCGTTTCGCCTCCAAAATGGCTTTCCAGGACGTGGCGGCTCCCGGCCGAGAATCGTACGCAGGTCTGCCGGCTCCGGTGGAGGGAACGATCACCGTGAGACGGACAATGGACCCGAAAATTCGTCGTCTCTTCGGACAATGCGGCAAGGGATTGCCCAGAGTCTGAAAAGTCCCCGGTTCCGGGAGGATCTGCAGACCTGCGTCCGGCGATTTGCGCGCCATGCGGAGGTCGGGGCCGCCATTGGTACCAATCGATGACGATTACGGGACAAGTGGTTCGCGATCGCGCCACTGTCGGTCGTACGTTTACTTTATTGTTCTCGACTCGCGTCCGGAAGTTGATAGACGATTTTCTTTGTAACAAAGAATCCACCGTAAGGTACGACAGCCGCATATCCCGAGACACTTGAGTCCGATGAGACAAAAAAAAGCATAAAAGCGGAAAGTAATAAAAATCTTGCTAGGTAGTAAAGAACGAACGATAACTCGTGCGAATTGTAATCGTAAACTACTATTAATATGGATAGATAATGTTAATACTTCGTTTCCTTTTCTCGCTGATCGGGCGATCTCTATTTGAACGCGGGTCGGCCGCGCGCCGAGCTAGATGACAAAATGGGAAAGAAGGTGGAATACCTTGAGTCTTACCGAGACACACCGTACCTTTTTCCGTACTAGACGAGACGCAGTCTTGGAGTTCACACTCCGCGCCTCGACGCCGGAGTTAACTCAATTTAATAGTTAATTTTGTATACAGCAAGTGTCGAGTATTTGCTCCGTGTCGATGTACGTGTCTACTAGTAGAGAGGTATCGCGACAGAGGAAATCCTTAGGAACCGGCGAGACGCATCGCCGGATGCGTTTCGCACTCGAGAATACGTGTGATTTAACGACAATTTAACGGCGAGCCCGCGGAGGCTTGTTCTTCATAGTTTATTCAAATCTTTGCAAATTGTCTGTATCGGCCTGTGGGGTATCGAGAATAAATCCAGGGAGGCAAACCACAGAGGAAGGGACTAACCGCACGACCTAAAGGGATTTTCATTTATCGAATTCACCCCGTGTTCCATGCCTGGAGAGGGTGGTCGAAATTCTATCCACGTGGTATTTTCTATTTCGCTACACCCGGCTGTGTTGTCCACTGTTTGTATAAAGACAGAAATTGAACGTACGTGGCAAAGACCTACGTTTGTACAATCATTGGAGATAAGAACGAGGGGGGATTTATGCTCGGTAATTGAAGCTAGCGAAAAGGAGTTGCAGTGATCGTTGTTGTTTCTTTTTTCCCCCTTGTAGGGAAGGTTTATTCTTCGTCTGAGAACACAACAAGACTGCTTTCGATTGGTGCGAAAGCGTAAGCTCGTTGATTCTGTATACTCGAGATACTGCGAACGCGATAGTACATATTGCTGCCCATCGTTATTTCCGTATTCTTAGCACTAATTTAATACTTGATTAATGTGACCCGCTAAACGCATGATATTACGTGCACACATTAACAAATCTTAGGGCAATTGATTTTACCTAGACTCGAAGGAACGTCACCGAGGAAGGTTTCGAAGCGTTAGGGACTCTTTATAGGCGTATCGACGTCACGGTAGCGTCGAATCAAGCGAATAATACCTCCGTAGCTACATACTCGTAGGACGTTTGTAAGTGACATTGTTCATTGGATAAAGTGGCTGATGCTCTTTGCGGGAAACATAAGTAGGTACTTAAATAATTCGGAAGATATTCGTGCGGGACGTCCGTCAATTTTCTAAGGCCATCGATCTCTGATTTCGAAGATTTTTCGCCAATCTGCACAGCATTTGCAATTACCTTCTCACCTTCGTTCTCGTAGATATATCCCGTATGTACATGTGAACTTCTGGAACGGTGAACCCTGGCGTGTTGTCGATATTTCCCTTCCGTTAATTTAATTTGCGTCGCAAGGAATCAGAGCTATGGAATACGATTGTACTCAAGAATTGCGCTGTACTTTAGGGATCTATACGTTTGTTTTCCGTCATACCGAATGTACTGTACGCATGCACCTCGGTGCACCCCGAGATTCGCACGTTTCTGGGTTATCAACCCCTTATTCATAAAACAGTTTAAGGAGACATAACGCTTCGGTTCCACAGAAAGTGATTCCCCAGAATCGGGACGCAGGATCTCAGATTTTCGATGATCTAACGACGCAAGCGCCACTTGCGGTAAATGAGGGAACTTCACTCCTACGTGACCGAAACATTTCCTATCGATGTGAATTACTTAAAATGCTTTTAATTCTGAAATTAAGGTACGCAAGGAGATACGATAGTCTGCGCATGGTACAGTTTTTAAGATGATAGGGAAGGCGCTGAGAAATTTAATCCAGGTCGATAAATTAAAATTCATCTGTACCCTTTTTGGTGCTAACGTCATTTTGAATACTCAAGTGGTAACATCAGCTGGCGCGTACCGTGACCGACATTTATATTTATGTTGAAGTTTTTAACAATCTACGCTGATAATTATACGAACTGAAGCGTTCCATATGTCACTTCAGTAAAGTAATGATGAATAGATCGATGTAAAACTGTCGAAATCCCGGGAATTCATTATTCTAACGAGTAATCTGTTTAGGATCAATGTCGCCATCTGTGACGTTTAGCTGCAACTAAATTTTTGCTTTAAAAACACGTTTGAGCCCCGAGTCAAGCCAGCGTTCTCTTGCAATCGTTGGGGAAAGTATTTTCCATATTTTCCCTTCTGATTCTGTAATATTCAATTTCTACGGTATTCTAAATTGTTTGAGCTAGGTCCAGAAACTCTTCATTATTGATTCTAAGCCTTGAAGAAGCGTAAAACATCGAAAACGTGCACGGACCGTGCCATGTTCTAGTCCATCATAAGTAAATAAATTTTTGATGAAAAATGAAATTTCATGAGTTTCAGGACCTACTTAAAGGCCTCCGTATTCACGCGGTAAAATTTGAAACGAATCGGTGCACCCAATTCGGAGAATATTTTCCCCAACGATTTTACTTCTCAGATATATGTGCCCATAATTATGAAAGTGGTTTAAGTCATATATTTTTTGTTTCGAAATTACATTGAATTAATTTCGTTTGAAATAATGGGGCGTGAAATAACTAATAAACTCATTTTTTTCAATTTTGACTTAGACCACTTTCATAATTATGGGCACATATATAGGTTATCTATTTCATATTACCTTAACGTGATAAAGACTAGCGGATCCGCTAGTAGACGATAATTTTTAATTGAAAAATTTCATCGAGGTGGCGCTCTCAATACTAGATCGGAAAAGATCTGAACTTCTTGGATCCCTAAAGTGGGAATGATTTCAATACATGGCGTTGGATCTCCTTATTCTACTTCGTGGCCCTTTAGTTCGGTTTACAAACAATGGACAATTAGGGAAGGTCTTTGAATGATTTTTTTTTTTCACCAATATTTAGTTCTGATAGTTTATCTTTTACGGTGTGCAAATCTCCAGTTTTTGTTGCATATCAATTCGGAAATACTCGATTGTGCCAATTAGTCAAGTTTAACCGGATCTGTCTGTTAATAGGGCATTCACTTTTTTTTTTTCTTAGGCAAATCATTGATCGAGTGGACTCTCAAAATTGATTCTCGAAGATCTCGACCTGACCATTCGTGCAATAAGTTTGCAATTTTGTTGGTGGGGAACCCCTTTAGAGTGGAGTATCCCTTTTCTGTACGAGACCCAAAGTGAAACCGTTCAGCAACGGCTGCAAGCGAGATTTCATATATTTCCGTGCCCTAGATGAATGACAAAGGAAATACAAAAATGAAGTACCTATTACAATAACGATGATTAATTTTGTTAATTAATGTTATACAATCGCATACACTTTGCATTGCATACGCCTTTTGTATGTTTACCTGATAAATAAAAGATCTCAAAAACCAAACGTAAGCACTTTTGCAACACTCAAGGTTACTACCGCGCATGTAGGTATAATATCGTATGCATTTTATTGGAAAATATTGTTTTATATACATGAATAAAATTTCTACGTTAATACATACGTTAAGGAAGAACCCCCCGTTAATATTTAAAACAGGTCAAACAACTGCGTGGCGGAGAACATTGTTCTATAGACGCCGATTAAATTTGTTTAACCGCAGAGCTTGTTGGACATCGTGAAGCCAGGTAATATTTATCGGAATTTGTTTGTACACCGGCCGAGAATAGGCAAATTTTATAGACTCGTTCAGTTCCCACTGAACACCAAACCTAACAGTTACGTAATTTACAAGTAACAAATAACAACGTTTGTTACAATGTAATAACCTAACAGTTACGTAACAGAGGTAACTAGTTACATGACATTTGTTACTATCATATCTATATAAATGTAGCATAACTTTGTTACTCTCATCTTACATTTTGTTACTGTCCTGATATTACTGTGTATATGCAGCACATATTTGTAACAAAACAGAATGACATTGGTGCTGTCATTTATTTTATTACATCATCGTCATCGTCGTTGTCATAATTCACCGTCAAATGTCATAAGATTAATATATGTCATATTTTGTTTACTACTCGTATTAAAAAATGTCACTTTAATTCATACGCCCATATACATTATCAGTCATTGTTTGCTAGTCGAATGAAATCCTAATTGTCGTTAAGTAAAATCAAATAGTTTATCATTACATAATTTCATTGAACGACTGGTTTGTCATTTAATATCTGACTGTTGTCAAGTACCAAAAAATAATTAAAAATAAAAAAATGATATAATTTTGGATAAAATGGCGTGATCTCTTTTATTAAATGTATGAAAGATTAATATTATTTTAAGGTAACGGAAATTATAACATTACTATGTCGTTAATATAACATGTTACATAACATGTTACCTTACCGAGTGGGAAATAATAACTAACATCTAACTTCCATGTTACTTTTATGCTGCATAACATGTTAGTTTCGAAAACGTAACATTTACCAAATAGTTATATAACAGTGTTCACTGGGTTCTAATTTAACGCAGGGTAGAAGATTTATACGTACGGTTCAAAGGTTGGAAGAATTTGCGCTACATTGGAATATCTTTTGTTTGATATTTCAAAGTGAAATTTTTGTTTTAAACAACGAGATCTAAACGAGATACGTCGATGTCGGGAGTTTATACATTATTTGTAGATATTTTCCTTTTGCGAAGAAAAATTGCAAGTAGTAAAATCGACGAAGGACTCTACAGCTCGTAGGATCGATGATTCCTTCATATATTTTTGAATATAAACTTCACCCTTTGTTAAATCTTTCTTTCAGACCTAACGCAATAATTCTATCTACATTTCACAAGAAATATATTTTAATCGGGCTGGAGACAGTTTTTAATCATTTCCACACCCTATAAACGTTCCATTTGAAACTGGTTAGAAGTTTATTACAAAAAGATATGGGTTTTCCTTTGCTTTTAATAGGTTTTACGGGAGTGTGACAAGGTCTCGGTAAATTGCATGGTAATGTATTTTAAGGTGTGCCTATTTTCAGCCGCCGAGGGTGATAAAATTACGATCGCTTTGAGGTCTAGTACATTAAATACTAAAGATGTGCTTCTATAACATGGCCGCTCTGGGACAAAGATGAGGGATGGTCCCCTCCTCCTCGAAATTCTGCCGTGGGACTATCGGCTATTACCCCATTTGTCAGAGTCATCGATAGCGCACCCTCTGGCGCTTTTCGGGGCTGCTTCATTCCTAAAACAGAGCTCTGTTGATTTAGTAACGTTTTTACCGTTTCGAAGAACAGCTGCGCGATGTAGCGTTAAGGTACGTGTACCAGTGGCTGAACACCACTTCAAATATCTCCCTTTATTAAGGTGAAGTGAAACACGTCGAGGAACTTGATCGACGTTGATGAAGAAGATTTTTCTAAATGCCTACGTTGCTGACGTTCGTCTTTATGTTGACAGCTGTATCGAATTATATTGGATATTATACCAAATGGCATACTTCTGTCGTTTTCGTACAATAAATATCAAGAAATCTTAGTATAATGTGTTACATAACATGTTACCTTACCGAGTGGGACATAACAACTATCATAACTTCCATGTTACTTTTATGCTACATAACATATTAGTTTCGAAAACGTAACATTTACCAAACAGTTATATAACGGTGTTCACTGGGTTAGTCTTTACGTTCATTTATGTCATTTGTACCTCATATCGGTCTTTATATGCTAAATCTTTATCGGAATCTCATGTGTTCGGCCACTGGTATACTTACTACACCACGGTTCGAAATAAACTGCAAAAATGCCGCTTCGTTATTATCGGGTGCGGAGGAACGAACACGGAAACGAGCCGCCGTATATCGGGAGGTCACTGGAGACGAATCGACCGATGGTTTCGAATGATGGCCGCGAAACGGCTGTCTGCGAATATCCCCTGTTAACCCATTTGTCAGAGCCATCGACGTTCGCTCCACCGAGCGATCGGCTGATCGCGAAGTGAAGATATCTCCGAGCAGGGGGAAGCTCCCAGTAGAGTTTAGGAAAGACTCTAAGCGTTTTTACGCGCGAACGCATCCGGAAATGTACTTTCCCTCTCGGGGTTCTTAAGAAGGGGACAGGTCCTCGGGTCGTTATCTCCGACCCTCTTTGCTCCTTCGGTTCGACGCCTCGACCTTCTTCGACTGCGGGAAAAAACGGGCCTGTGCAT